AGGACAGCCCATTTCAGAAATGGAATCCTATGCCCTGAACATTTTTGAGCCCTGATGCTCAAGAATTCTTTGCTGGAGGTCATGTTCATTATATTTCCTGTGTGGTGGTGTGCCTTCTGTCCTGATGTTTGTTTTCTTCTTCTTATAAGCATTGAATGGAAATTACAGTGGAGCCTGAGATGCTTCTGTTTTTCTAGCCTCTACCTTTTAAAACAAATTTCTGATGTTTTCTGGGAGAAAACAATTTCAGGGAAGTGTCTTTTCATTCCCACGGAGAGAGCATGACCCGGCAGTGTTCCGACTCTCGAGAACAGCTGATTTGCAAGTGACAGTTCCACGTCCTCTTATTCAGAACGGGGGCGCTATGAGGAGCAGAAGGGCACTTATCTCAGTCTGAATAACTGAATAATGTAACTGTTTGACTCCATTAGCACTCCTGAAATGGTGATACATGACAGAGAACTCTTAGCCTAAGCAGACGATGAAGTAAACAAATGTCTGCAACCTGCTTATTTATTTTAAAACAACTTTTCTCTTCATCACTTTTGAGTTCTACAGTTATAGGATTAGTAACCCATTCTAGGAAAAACAGAATGGGTTGTTTGGCTTACTATGCTAAAATGAATGTATATATACAAGGGTGGGGAAAATTAATTCTATGGGAGTGGTCCCCAACCTCGGGTCCTCAGATGTCCTTGGACTAAAACTCCTAGAAGCCTTCACCAACAGCTGTGCTGGCCAGGATTTCTTGGAGTTGCAGTCCAAGAACTTCTGGAGACCCAAAATTGGGAATCACCATTCAATAGACTCTAGCTGCAGTGCGCTTTCCCTATTTCTTCATACAGGTATATGAAACATCTTTTTCACTGCTCCATGAGAACACCTCAAACAGTGCGCTTTCCCTATTTCTTCATATATGAAACATCTTTTTCACTGCTCCATGAAAGGCTATACTAGAAGGCTCTTATCTGCTAATTGTGTAGTTTTCTTGCTACAAACCAATCTCTTAGCTGTGCTATTTCTTTCCTTCTGGGTAGAGTGGAAGAGAAGACATCTTGCTCATCACAATCTGGAGCCAGCATGGGCACTTTTGAACATGGGAAGAACCAGGTGGACCGCTATGGAAATGGGTGGTGTAATCCTGCAGCTGAAGGGCTGTCCCTCCACCTCTAATTTTTCTAAATATTAATTTACTGTGCGCACAAGGAGTTTGCAGTCTTTGCACACTATATTTGTGTGGCATAGAGAATTTCTGGACACAAGTCTCCCCAGATGAGAAGTTAGAAAGCACTATATGTCTGTTACATCTTTTCCTCTCTAATTGATTTCCTGTGGTCAGGAGAAAGATGAAAGAAGTTGTGGAAAACCAACAGAGGCTTTGGGTAAAGGAGGATCATGTGTAAAGCACCTATAAAACTCAGCAAATGAGGCCAGGCAATGGCCTGATCAAAGCTAGTCTGAAGCTGTGCTGACTTCTGAGGGCACACACTCAGAATTGTTTTGCCATGCAATCTCCAAAGAAACAGCCATGTTAGTCTGTCTCAGAGCCTGACTACACAGGGGGGGAAGTACAGGAAATACTATGGGTTTGGAGCAGGCTTATTTGCATTTTTTCCCATTGATTGCATGATGAGTGCAAATGAGCCCCGAGTCCCAATCTGTAGTTTTTCCTCCCCACCAAAGCCCCTTCTGCTTTTGAAAGTCACATCATTTTGCTTTGGTTCAAATTGTTTTGAACTGATGCTACAAGGAAAGACCAAGTGAGTATCCATCCATGCATGCACATAGCAGTGCTTTGGCAAAGCACCTGCCCCCTTGCCTCTTGCCTCGTGAGGATGAGGATGCACAAATGTGGACGCACACACTTAAAAAGCAGCACCAGCACTCTCTTCTCTCCCAAGAAACCTTTTTAAACAGCTTCTCCCAGGGCAATGCTTCTGTCTCTTTTAAACAACTGAATGAGATCTACCAGCCAGCATGAGTAACTGAATCTTTTTAAGGCAGTTCCTTTGACCTGCGGCACTTACAGGCACTCCCCTGCCTGTGTGAATTGAAGAGTACTGAGTGCCCCAGGGCAACTTTGCAGCAAGAGAATTTACTTGTCTTATTTATAGGCTGCCTTTTCCCAATAAGAAGACTCAAAGTGGTCAAAAGGTGATTCATAGTGGAGAATGTGATTTACTACCGCTGAAATCCAGTAGTAAGTCACAACTGGAGTAGGGCAGTTGGATCAGTGAAACTTAAGGCGGAGTTTATTCACTAAATCTCCACTGATTCACTGGGTCTGCTCTAGTTGTGTTTTCAGCTAGTAAGTTGTTAAAATTAAAGGTGAAAATGAAAAAGAGGGAAAAAGGAAGGTAAAATATTGTGACACTAATAGATTATTTTTCTGTACTGTATGAGATTTCGTGGGTCAAAACCACTTCTTTGAGCTACATTTATACACCCAATGGTGATGAGAGTTATGACTAGGCAAGGATATGGATAGTAGACAAAGTGATAGCACTTTACAAGGAGTGTGAATACTTGTGTTCTACATTTATACACCCAGTGGTGATGAGAGTTATGACTAGGCAAGGGTATGGATAGTAGACAAAGTGATAGCACTTTATGAATAGAATGATGAGACTATATGTGTTGTTAATAGGCTTTGCAGGGAAGGAATCTGGAAGTTGTAATCCATAAGGAACTTTCCAAGTCCCAAATTTTAGTTGTCAGATCTAGAGTTTTGTAAAGGAGTCTGGAAGCAGGAGAACAGTATTTGGCCCTTTCCATCTGGATTCAGCTGTCTGGCGGTCACTTCATGTGAGGATGGCCATGTTTGATTACACTGCAGCTTAATTCTAATCAAACATCTATCTTAAATTAAATCTTTTGCAGCCCTGGTGCTTTTTTAATTTTACAAACAATTCCATCTCCTCTCAGCACTTTCCTTGCAAATGGTTACTTTCTGTTACAAAAGACTCTCGCTGTAAGCAGTTGTGTAGGAGAGAGGGCTATTTAAGGAACACAGATAATGTTATGACAGGTTAACTATTTGGCAACAGATAACTCAATCTACTTCTAGCAGATTGAATCAATGGTGGTGTCCTTTTTAAAAAGCACCTCTAACAAAATGGGATTAGACTCGTTTTGCTTTCTTAAAATAGCAAAGAATTGCTTTAACTGGTAATAATCCTATTAGACAAGATGTCTTGAAGTACAAAACATTCCCAGATTTGAGATGCCCTCGTTTGTCTGATTGCTAATAGAAAAGACATAGCCAGGTGTGTGCTGCCAATAGAGGATCATTATAAGGGAGAAATTCTCAGGTCTCTTTTTGTTCCACTTCTGTAGGTCAAAGATGGGTGAGAGGAGTACAAACATACTAGAGATGGGCATGAACCCCAAAAAATCAGTAGATGGTTTGTGATGGTTTTGGCTACCCACAAACCACAAACTATCACCTCCCCATAAACCAGTTCATGGTTCATTTTTCAGGTTTGTGCTGCGGGGGGGGGGATTCCTGCCCCTGCCACCCCTGCCTTTGCCGCCGCCACCACCACCGCCACCACCATGCTTTTAAGGAGAAATATGGAGCAAAAATATTTTAAATAAATAAATCCTGAGAGGCAGCAGGCCTAGCTCCTTGCACAGGAGCCAGTGTTGCTGCCTATATGCATGTGCCCGCCTGTCAGCTGAGCGATGGGCACATGCATGCAGGCAGCAGGCCCAGCTTCCAAGGAAGGCTAGCCAGAAAGCTTGGACTCATATAGAAATCCTGACAGCATCATCATTCAACTAAACATTCTGGCAACATTTGTGAACTAAAAAAAAATGAGGCACTAAACGCGGTACCCCAAACGCATTGGGGTAAACAATGTTGTTGTTTAGTCAAAGGTTAGCTACAAAATTGGGAAGGGTTTTATTCTATTTGGGAGTACCCTTGCTCTGGTAATACAGAGGTAGAAGTCCTTTTGAAGTTTATAGATAAGTGGAAACAATTTTGAGTTAGGCCCAGGAATGGGCTGGTAACCATAATAGCAAAATATGCTTCCATCAGATGAACTATATTAAAAATGTAGCCATTGGCTAGAGCATTTCCTTCAACTTCAGAATGATCTCAAAGAGCATCTTTACACATAACTCACAGTAGCAGTGTAAATAAAAGTTTCTGAGATGTATAAATATGGCATATAAACAACTTCACAGAGGGTAGGAGTTCAGTTCCCCAGTGTGCATCCCAGAAGAGCCAGCTTGTGAAGAAGGGACTGGTAAACTACTTCTGAGTGGTTTGATTTAATGGCACACAATTATTATTATTTGTACAAGTTGAGGACCTATTGAGCAAATGTTTGTTGGAAGCACAAGAAGGGAAGCTTTTACCATATGTGGTGGACTTGTAGAGTAGTGACACGGTATTGGATAGCAGTACATACTCTGTTACAAAAAAAAATACTGCTTTGTAATGTTCCACTAACCCCAGAATTGTTTTTACTGAGCATGATACCAGATAATATAGATAAGACAAAGAACTACCTAGTTATATATATAGTCACTGCAGCCAGAATTCTTTATGCTAAGAACTGGAAGAAATCGGAGATACCAAAACAAGAGGAGCTCCTCGAGAAGATACGGGAAGCGGCAGAAATGGATACTCTATCAGAAGTGTTGAAAGACTGTCCAATACGAAAGGCAACTGAATGATGGGATTTATTATATAAATGGCTTGAGTCACCAGGTAGTGCTTGAATAACATAGAATTAAACTAAGAGCTAACTGTAAGTTCAAACCTGGAGGGCAATCAAATTGTAGAAAGGTGAAAAGTGGACTTGATATCGCAACATGAACAAACAGATTGGATGACAGTACATTTTGTGTTCTCCTCCCCCTTCTTTTTCCTCCCACATACCCCTCTTCCTTTTGTAGTCCTCACCTTATCCCTAGTTTTAAAAAAATAAAATAAAAGAACCAGCAAGTTTAAGGTATTGTTCCATTATGCTAGTACTGTAGTTCTGCGCCTGATTTTGAACTTACCGTCAATTGCAGGTGATGCTTTCAGTGCATATCTAAAAGCAGGAACAAGATTAAATTAAACATGTTCAATTTTAGGAACTGATCTCAAAGTACCATATTACAGATTTTTGTTCATTTAATATGTTCTAAATAAATTACCGTTCCTTAAAATGAAACATCAATAATAGCCATTCATAGAAGTTTACCACTTGACTTTTAATGATAAATGCAAATAATTTCTTTTGATCATTATTCTTGTTTGACAACCTAATGCTCAGCAGTCACTAGCAATGATGAATTGCTTGGTACTCTTCCTGTTCTTCTTTTCAGCCGATAAAAAGTTAACGGTAATGTGCCTGGGATCTTTGTGCTGTTTTCACAAACCTCCACTTTAAATTTAGTCTTTCTTGTAATCAAGAAAATACAAATCAGTAAAAGAAGGAACACCAAAATGAAAAGGAGCGCATCACTGAACAGGAAGTCGGAACAAAGTCTTTGGGGTGTGGAGCAGGAAGGCACTTCGCTCCATCTGAGATCAGATACGGATCTGTTGCGAAGTGAACGTGGTGTGAAGCACCTCACATCAGTGATGTCATTGGTAAGAAGGTTATCCATTTGGTCTTCCAGCCAGTTTTTCAGATAGAGAATCCTGCAGTCACAGTGCCAAGGATTGCTCGATAAATTGATAACCTTCAGCATCTGAAGGCTGTCAAAAGCTCCTGCAGGTATTGTTTTTAGTTTGTTCTCCTGGAGGTACAACTCTTGTGTGGAGCCAGGTAGAAGCGGAAATGTGGTCAGTTCTCTGAAGCTGCAGTCCACTTTTAGAGGATTCTGATCCGACGGAGAACAGCTGCAGTGGTGGGGACAGGAGCTCCCAAATGTGGTTTCAAGGAACAGAAGAATCAGTAATCCTTGACATGTAACCATTCTGAAAGTTGAAATAATGGTGTCAGTGGAGAGAAACATGTTGAAGCAAGTTCATGAACATGAATGATTATACAGTATTTTGAACTGGTTAGAAAAGTTCCTTTTTTTGCATGACAGTTGCCTAAATCTCTGGCAAGAAATGCCATGGGTAAGAGAATTAATGGGGTTGTAACCAGAAATTACTCTTCTAGGATCTAGTATTTCATATGAGGAATCTTTTCAGATATTTTTATTTAAATGCGTATTCCCCTTCTCCTCTATCCTATATTTTAACTGCTGAACCAATTATTTTATTTAGAAGAAGGGCTAGAAATTCTAGATCCCATAAACTGCCATTGTTTTTCGAGAAGGTTGTTTACAAATCAGCCAATAGTCATGCTGGCTGTGGGATTCTGGGATTTGTAGTCAGACATAATTTTGCCAAGCACTGGGTCTTGGGCCAAAGAGTAGGTGTTGATATTCCTCTCCCTACCCAAGGATGAACCACAATTCACCAGCTGAAGACTGAGATTTTAAAAGAGGAAAGCTGAGGGAGGTTGGTATCAGAGGCATCAGAGAGTGTGAAAAATGCACACTTTCCTATGACCTACTTCTCTTACCCTTATGATATCCTTGGATTTATTTCTTTTATAATTGAATCATAACCTCTGAAGGTTTAAGAAGAGATCTCTCCAAATGTTTTCTCAGACTCAATACAGTATTCTTGTTTAAAGATCTGGGAGTTAGTGAAGCTTGCAGCTTAGAAGTATCAAACTTGATACTTTTGATAAACAATCCGTGCCAATTTTATATACCTAGGATTCAGATATAGCTGGGCCATCGGGCAATTACCTGGTAAAACATACACATTCGAGGTCTATCTCTATTATCAGAGGCTACTGAGTAAAGGAATTTTTTCAAGATGACAAATCAAGCTACAGTGCAGTTCAACATGTATCGATCGAATCAGGTCTGGCTGTAACAATAGGCCGAGTGTGGCGATGGTCTCAGGCAGCAGATTTCACTTAACAAAAAAAGGACAGCAAACTGTTAGGTTTTTTTAAAAAAAATCTTGTTACTGCTGCATTTTTACTTCTGGCAACTTGGAAAGTTGCTGGTGAGATTTTCTGTGTCAAAAGAGCTTGACTGGCTTTGGATGCCATATATCTCGAACAGGTTGTGTAACTATAGAGAGCCAATCGCTGCTTTGCTTCAGGCACCAAAATAGTTTGGGCCAGTCCTGTGTATAGTTTACTGAAAAGGAGCCACCAAAGGGAGGGCTCCCAGCTTTACCAAACCAAAGAAACTGTGCAATCTTTCCCTCCTTTATACATTTTCTAGGCTGAGAAAAAATATGGAATTATCTATGGGTTACAAATGGAGGCCATAATTGCTTCTCTCTCTTGGCCCACACCTCACTAGGGTGGCCATAGCTCCACTGCCTAAAACAAGGGCATTCTTTACAACAACAACAAAAAGGATGATATTTTGCATTAAATTTGCATATACCAGTATCCTCACAATTAGACATCGCTACTACAGTTGAAGTGGATATACACTACTGCTACCAATAGAAGATTCTGGCTAGATAACCACCTCGGGATAGAATATTGAAAGAAAGATTGGATATAAATCAAATAAATAAATAACACCCAGTGTTTAATAACTCTCTGAAATGTCCAATGTCTTGCATCTTCAGCAGCTTATAGAAAACCAATATATAGAAATAAAATAAACAGAGGATACCATAGTTTTGTTGAAATATCTAGCTAGGCAACAATAGATTATTTGAGAGGAATGATGTGAACAGTGCTTTCAGAATGTCCACTCTTGGGACTGACCTCTGCTCATACAGAATTGCCTTAGCATGCCATATGTTTCCCACCACCCATCATTATTTATTCTAGTGTGTGTGGTTTGTATCTTTTATTACAAAGTTACTTACCCTTCTCCAGAGAACATGTTTCCTACTCTCTGCTAGGAAAACTCACTGGGATGTCTGTGGCTACTTATGAGTCACCAAAATGGAGGACCTGCATTACCAAAAAGTAGGATAGCTCTTCAAATGGAAGACTGTCCTCTCTGAAGGAGGACAGATGGCTACCCTACACCTCACTGAAGCGGCCATGTTCACGGCTGGGCAGCTGCACCAGAAAATACTGTAACCTCCCTCGATGCTTCAATTATTCACACCTCCTCAGGAGCAGCTTATGACTTTGTTCTGGACACTTTCCTGTCTTTTAGTGCTCATTTCCCAGAGGAAAGTGTCTTTAGCCTTCTTATCTTCAGTGAAATCTATTTTATCTCTTACTTGGATCCCACTAGCCACCTTGGATCCTTTTCAGGAGAAGTGGGGTAAAAATATTTCAAATAAATAAAATTGAGTGATCCTTCCATTCACACTGGATGATGTTTCTTTTTCCATGAAAGGGTCTAGATGGGCCTTTGAATCACTCCAATTTGTTATCCAATTGATAACACTTCCCTTCCCACCCCCTTCCCTGCCTTTCACCATGGCCATCATTCAGCGGGCAGCAGTGCCTTACCCTTTTTTGTTAAATAAAGTGACAAAGCAAGACATCTACCTAGCATGGTACACACAATACCACCATGTATCTTGTTTATCTAGAACAGCTGTTGCACCACTAGGAATATAATTTCAAATGGTAGAGTAGATGAAAATAGATGAGGGGAGTACTTGGCAATCCTTTTCTATGCCGCAATCCATCAAATACACCACAGGGATTTTACCTTAGATATCACTGCCCACAGCTCTCTTTGGGTGTCAACTAATCACGAAGTGGGATAAACAGGAGCACTCCGAGAGCTGTGCCAAAAAGGAATGGGGCAGCTCTAAAAGGGGGTGAGACGGATGGCTCTCTAAGTCAAAACACGTGTGGACACTGTCATTTGATTCAAACCAAACAGCACCAAAATAATCTAAATAGTGAGTTATATACCCATCTGGATATGCTCTAAGCGTCCTTTCAGATATAAGAACTTCATGTCATCAAGGCAATTTTGACTTACGGTGACCCTTTCCAAGGTTTTCTAGGTTGAGAGTACTCAGAAATGGTTTATCATTCTCTTCTTCTGAGGGCATTCTATGACCATAATCCAAAAGCCTCTGAATATAATCCCAAAAATATTGAGACTATACTGTATTTGCATAACTTTAACAGAGAGATTCAAGTCCTTCTTATAGCGACCATAATTCAAGAGTCCCAAGATGTAAACCTAAAATGCAGAGCATATTTACTGAACTCTAACACAGACATTTAAGCCTTTCTCATAACAATGAGCTATCCATACTATTTACCTGTGAGTCCCACACAGATGATGGTGAGAAATCAGGACAAGGATGAAGAATGTGTGAGCATGTGTGAATGTTGTCTGATTACAACTCCCATCAGGCCTAGCCAGTGTAGCTAGTGGTACACTATCCAGAGGCTAGGCAGGCAATGCATCGTTTTCTCCCACTCTTATGTTAATAATACATACCTTTCTGCCAGTCTTAATTTTTTTTCTTTTGCCACAACAGATGCAGCAAACGCCCAGTTTTAGGCCATAGGGATATTATAAAGAAGTTCAACGCTTTCTTAACTATGTTTGTGTACCTCCCTCCACCACTCATGTACGATCACCTCTTGATGTAACAGCATATCCTGCTGTGCTCTCTGGACCTGGCTAAATGCTCACTCAGAACAAATAGGCAGGAAAAAATGAGTGGTGCATGAAATTATCGACCAGCCCATTCATAAAGCTTAATGATGTGTCAGGCATGGAATGCAAACATTAAGACAAATTAAAAGCCATTCATTCTAAATTACCCTCTGTGAGTAGTGGGCAACTGTGTACCCCAAGAAAGTTCTTGAATTACAGCTCTCATAAGCCCTCGTCATTGACTATCTTACCTAGGTTTGGGAGGAATTTGTAGGTGAAGAATAGAGGAAGCTGTCGGGTAAAAATGTCTGGAGGGATGCAGTTGCTCACCCTGCTTATGTATTATCACTTAGACATATTCTACACATGTTCCTTGTCTGCATGCATTTTTATTTTTAAAGAACTGCATTATTTTTAGATTTTTTTCGCCCTTTTCCTTTTCCTTTTTCAAGCTGTGGTGGTGAAAAAGAAGGTACTTTATCCAAATTAAAGAATATTTTTACACAGAAGGGTACCAATGATCAATTCATCCATTATTTGTTGTAGCCTCAGAACTTAAGGGTATGTAAAGATTTAGATAACATTGCTATTTGGAGCACGGCTGTTCAAGATTACAACCACCCCATGCCGCTTTCTATCCCAACTTCTCCATTTTTGCACCCAGCTGTCATTATTCTGTAGCTACTGAGTAAATCCATTAATATTTGAAGGATTCCTTCTCCCAAGACATTTAATACTTCTGCACACCTGAGGTGCTTACAACTGTTGTTACTTTCTTCCTGTGCATGCGCAGTTGCATTTTGCCTACACAAGCAGTGGCATTCAGTGCTTAAGCACTGGAAACAGAGAGAAAGATAGTAGCAGTATAGATTTTGAACAATAATCTCTGGTTGTCCTCTACAATATTATGCAGAACCGCTAATTCTATTAAAGTTAACCATCAAACACATACCTATGATACTGTGAAATACAATCATATATATCGCGATGACTGTTTATTCAAGAAAGTTTTTTAAAAGTATTTAAAATGTTTGGACTTGAAGCCTACTGCCATGCTTAACGTTCAGGCAGGTCTTTTACTTCCCCTCCTCTTTTCCTTTTAATTAACAGGGGGGAAAAAAACCCCACACATCTCACATTCTTACAAATACTTCCGCTGTCCAAAAGAGCACTTACGTCAAATCCAAAACGCAAGAGAGGACCACTCCTTCCAGGGCCTTGCATTCTTTTATTTTAAATATTTACGTTGGATTTCAGCAGGCTTCTTTGTGAGTTCCTCATTGCATGAGAAGAGAGGGCTGGATAGCAAAATTGTCAGGGGGCCTTTCCCAGTATCCCTTGAGAAGCCTTTTCTGCATGGGTGATACAGTCATGCCTTGCTACTGAGGCTTCTGACAAGACGAATTGTAATCAACAACATATGCTGTGCAGTTCAACATGATTGGCTGCATGGGAAATGGCCAAATGCTCTTCAAGGAAGTGGCTGAGCTAGATAAGCTGGTGATATATGCTCCTTCCCCTGTTTAAGCTTACTCACTCCTGCTCTGGAGGATTCCCCCAGATAAAGGCACATTGGTTTCCACCTGATAAGCAGAAGCCTCCTTACTGGAAATAATACCGTTCTTCACTGCAACCACACATTTCCACAGCAGTGCTCTAACGTGCTTCTGTATTCAATGTATTCTGTTCCAGTCTTCCAAAAATAGCTTCAACATGCAAAAAACATTCTCCTTTGTTCTGTGGATGCTGACAAAACAAGTTCAGAAGAGGGCAACAAGGATGATCAGGAGGCTGGAAGCGAAGCTGTATGATGAAAGACTGAAAGAACTGGGCATGTTTAGCTTTGAGAAAAGAAGACTGAGGGGTGATATGATAACACTTTTCAAATACTTGATAGGCTGTCATACAGAGGAGGGGCAGGATCTGTTCTCCATCATCCCAGAGTGCAGGACACGCAACAATGGGCTCAAGTTAAAGGAAGCCAGATTTCGGTTAAATATCAGGAAAAACTTCCTAACTGTGAGAGTAGTAAGACAGAGAACCAATTACCTCGGGAGGTGGTGAGTGCTCCAACACTGGAGGCATTCAAGAGAAACTTAGACAACCACCTGGCAGATATCCTTTGATTTGTATTCCTGCATTGAGCAGGAGGTTGCACTTGATGGCCTTATCGGCCCCCTTCCAACTTCACTATTCTATGATTCTATGATTATTCTATGGCTAACTCAACAGTATTCTGTTTAATTGTGTGCATTTGTTGTAGTAGTCTAAAAATGTGCTGTTTGCCTCTATGCTGCTCTGAAATCTCTGAATATACAGATGATATAAATATGGAAAACATAGGAAAATACTGTATTGTTATGCATTACTATGAAATTTGACATGTAAAGGAAGCTGTTGTTTACAGAAACAAAAGTGGTATCACACATGCACATTTCTCCTTTTAACATGTTTTTCATAATTGTGACTGTCTTGCCACTTGAGGGAGCATATCTTCTAGGTGCAGATTCTTTACCTCATCTTGTGAGACTCCTGTTCTCACAAGAGCAGCATTCACTTCTTCACCTGATACTATAGGTCCATAAATGTCTCTTTCCTCTCAATTTCCTCTTTAATCCTATCCAGGTGTTAGCCAATTGCACATACAGTAAT